TGGCTGGAACATAAGGCTTGAGGTTTGGGAATTGAGCAGGTGGAGGGTGGCCATATTAATGACCATGGCTCTCCTGCCACCAAATTCCCAACCCATAAGGAGCCCCATGGGCTGGATGTGATAGCTCCATAGGCCACATGTGTCCCACTGGGATAGAGGTTGAGCATCCCTATGCTAGATGGTCTCTGCTCCAAACAGATTCTAATCCAAGTACAAGATGGGCAACACAGATACAGCAAGAGGAGAGGAGGGAAGGAAGAAAGATAAGAAGAGGACACAAAGTTAGGAGTGGTGGCAGAGATGGGCATGGTGAAGGACCGGGTAGAGACAAAAGGATGTTAAATGAGTAAAATACCAGCAGAGGTGGTAAGGAGGTGGCACAGAAAGATGTAGATTTGAGAGCTATATTTGTACAGGTGCAATGAGGGGAAGGCTGCTGCATTTTATGAACAAATATCTATATAGTCTTTCAGATGTTCAAAAGTAAGTTTTCAATTCTACCTTTACTGAAGTTCCCCTGAAATACCTAATTCTGATCTTACATCAATGACAGTAGTGACTAAAAACATTACAGGCCTGATTCTAATCTCAGCTGCTCTAATGTGAATCTGAAGCATCTTCATTTTTTTAAAACAAACCCAAATTAAAATAAAAAGACATTTGGTTGTTAAAGGAGATTGAAATATTATCTCTGAAAAGTAAAACCCAACAGTATTATACTGGAAAGTTTTAGAAGTAATAAAATGCATGAGTTTCTCTTCACTTTTCTTTTCTGAGGTGGTTAAACAAGAATCATAACCTGATGATCTTATAATTAATTTTGCTACCTACCTGAACTATAGAACAGTCTTATGTTTGGTGTGTTCTGCTTTATCTCTTGCATCCAAAAACAGACATTGAGAGGGTCAGAGTTTAGTTCATCATTTAATATTTTGGGGCAACTACTGTTGAAGTCTGGAAATTTTTTTTGATGAATACAGGAAAGGGCTCTCATTCTACAACCAATGGTGCATTCATACCAAGCAATTTCAAGAACGCTTGAGATGTGAATTCTGATCAGACTATCATTTCTTCATTAAAAGTTAAAGAATCCCCCTTCCCCAATTTTAGGAAAGCATAAACAACTACTGCAATTACCTCTGATACCAAGGCCAGTGCTAGTGTCATTAATGTCAGTTTCCCAGTAGTACATCCTTTCATTCTGGAGAATACTCAGAACTGTTTGTCCTTTTGACTAGAGAGGATGTCTTTTGCAGTACAGCCAGCATATGTCAGTGTAAAGAGTCTTATTTATTGGCACCCTGCAGTCAGGTCTATTTAGACAGACTTGGGCAGTTCAAAGAACTTATACGGTTGGCATTTAAAATATCTTCTGTATACTGTAGTATCATTTTGGCTTTTTGGCTTCCCTCCAGTTTGACCAACAGTTTACCTAACCTGAACAGGAAGATAGATATTTCATATATAGCTCAAGATTTCATTAGTCTCTTCAGTAGTGGTGAGAAATTGCAGCTGAGTGTCTCATGTAACCTGTTTCAGATTTAGTTTTTGGTAATTTCCATGAATATTAACCTACAGGAATCAGTCTCATAACTGTTAAAAACTATTTGTCTATCCAGACGGTGCCATAAGCATTCTGAACACAAAATATAGGCCTAATCTTGCAAGTGTTTCTACTAACCTTAAATATATTTACCTAAGAGCAAATATTGCCGGACTGGACACAATAATTTCATGCATCATCTTTAATATAAGTAGGTAACTAGATTTCTATTTAAGCACCCATTAGAGATTTCCTGAATCAACAAAAATATTACAGATTGATAAAAAAGGTATGTTGTTCTTTTGTGTTACAGGAGTTAGCCCCAACAACAGGCTTATTTTGAAATGAGAAGAAAACTCCACTGTAATGTGGGATTTGAAAAGGATAAAGCAGCTATAAGCATGACAATGAAATATACTTTAAAAAACAGGTAGAAGCAATAATTCTGTATCTGCTAAAGGAACTCCAACCCCTTTGTCCATCATGTTGCACAACATGACATTCTTGAGGTCTCTTAAATGCATTAGCTTTACAGTTGAGAAGTGCTGAACACGTCTTTTACCAATGGGACCCTTTGTACCCTTTCCTTCCACTATGGAGTAAATATACTACCTTCTTTAGTTAATGTAGTAAGAGACTGAGAGGATAGGTTTATTGCATGCTGTGGTGTAGCATGCTGATACCCAAGCTAGTTTTGGGTCTGGGAAGCAGTCTCACAGCGCTGCCAGGTTGCTGGATACAGGCTAATTCAGTTTACTTAGCCTTCATGGAACTCTGCACTACCATGAACAGACCCTTCCTGCTACCTCGAGCTAATTCAAGTATTCCTACAGTACATATGGCCCACTCAAATTAGCCATGATACAGCAGAGATTGATAATTGCTAGTTTAATACATGATCCCAGAAACCCATTTAAAAAAAAGTCTGATACAATACATAAAAATGATTTATAGTAAATCAAGATTATTAATAATAAAAATAAAAAAACAGCAACACTATTTGTTGCTCTCCTTCCTCTGATCACGTTTGCATCCTTATATTGTGAGCTGCCTCAGTCAGGGGGCTGTTTCTTTTCAGATGTATGGAAAAATCTCTCAGAAAGATGCTGTTCTCATATCCTCCACAGAAAACGGTTAGTGAAAGGAAGGGTGCTATTTTGAACAAGAGCCTTTATCATGCTGTTACCTTGATGACTACTCTACCAAAATCCTCATCCATTCCATTACCACTTCTTTATGCCTTCCCAGATCTTCAGATTCCAGCAGTCCATATACCAAAAGAAGGATGATATCACCTGCGTTTTTAGATATTCTGTTCGATTTTCTCTCTTTTGATGACCTATTCCTAGATCAAAACTATCCTCCCTTAAACTGCAATGGTCTTCCTAGTTTTTCCTTTTAGAAAGGAAAGGAAAACCTGGCTCCCCTGAACTCTTACTGACTTCTACATCAACAAGAGATCACCCAATTTCTTTATATTCTTCCTTTTACTGCCCAACTCTGCTAGTCTTTCCAAGGCCTTCTCCTTGTCCTTGGAAGACAGTCTTGCCAATAGCAGTTTAAGCCTTCACCACTGCTCTTCGCATTTAGGAAAAACAAGGATTTGAAAGGTGATAACACCATTTTATTTCACATTGGTTTGTCCTGAGAGAGTATGGGATCAGATTTCAGATACCATGTTTTAGGAAGACAGGTAAACTGGAAAGGTTCTAGAAGTAAATGATGAAGATAAAGGGGTTAGAAAACAAGCCATAAGGGAAGCTCGACAGAACTAGGTATATTTTAGTTTGGAGAGGAGGCAGTGGGTAGGGGGCATGACAGCAGCTTTTAGATATTCAAAAGTTTGCCTTAGAGAATATGGAGAAAAGTGTTTTTGTGGCAATGGGTTTAGAGAGCAGGAAGGCAGTTTTAGATTAAATCTTTAGGGAAAAAATCTTCCTAATGTCATTCCTAGAAGTGGAACAATGGAACCAGCTTCCCAGGGAAGCTAGGGAATCTCCTTCACTGGAGGGGTCCAAGAAGCTGGACAGACCTTTGTTGGCGTGGATTAGGAATAGCAGGTATACCTACATGCAGAGGGTGAGACTGGAACAGTGGGTGCCACAAATTAGCCTTGCATCCTCCCTAAGTGGCATTCTAATCTGCTCCTCTGCCTGATTTGCTGCTCTGCTTTCTGGTTCCTGCCCTGTGCCCTCTGCCTCACCTGCTGCTATTTTATGTTTCCACATCTATCTGCTGTTGTGTTGACTGTCCCCTCCCTGATCTGCCATGTGACACACACAGAGGCTGCCCATGCCACATTTGGCGCTCACGTGGCTGGCCAACCACCCCTGGACTAGAAGAGGCTTGTTATTAGGCCTATGTGAAGCGGCTAGTATTCATTTTGGATTCGGCCAATTCGGGGGACTGATTCGATTCGGCTGAATCTGATTCAGAGATTTGGCTGTTGCCGAATCTCCGAATCAGCCAGGCCAGGCCCATCCCCTGCCCGCGCTCCCAGCCTGGCAATGGCTGCCCCAGCTCCCAGCACTTGGAGAAAAATACACCCCGACTCTGCGGTTGCTGCCAGGCGGGGAGTGATCCTTGTTGCCCCCCACTGTGTGGGGTGCTCTGCACAAGCCTCCCGATCCCTCCCCTCATACTCCCAGCCCCACCATGGGTGCCCTACCCAGGCCAGCTTTGGCCCCTTAA